CCGCATTCTTGAGTCTCCAGTAAGCTATATCGTCATCTAGGGGCTTCAGTAATCAGATCCCGTAAAGATTAACCTCTGTGGCGTAATCTCACAGAGCTGATAGGTTCCGTGTATTTTGTGCGTCAAAGAAGCAATTTGCTTCGCTACCCTTCGTCACGTAGACGACCATCGAGCCGTAGGCCTTGCTTGTATCCTTCCTGCTGAGCCAGGCAATCTTGGCAATGTTGACGTTGTTCTCTGTAGTCGTGGTTCCAGGGATGGGACGTCATGGCCGAATCAGCGCAGATTGAAGCTGCTGACGAAGAAGCGGGTGCGTCGCTCTAGTAGTATAGTCAACCCATAATGGATGTTGACCCTGCAAACCTCATCTTTCGCCACTTTTTGACAGAAATCCGATTTTTTTGTTCGTGTTCGTGATTGTCAAGGAATGCGCGACGGAGGCATGCAAAAGCAGGAGCGAAGCAGCGAGTCACAGGGGCCCTGATGCCGTAAGCGGCTTTCTTCTTGCGATTTGATTGGCCAGAACAAAGCAAAAACGGTCCGTGCACCTCCACCGCCAAGACCAACTGCGAGATGCCAATTCGAGGAAGCAAAATGCAGATGACGCCAGACTTCGAGATGCTATCGAGAGAAGTCGAAAAGGAGAAAAAAGCCAAATTCTACAGTGAGAAGTCGACAGTACAGGTTAGAAATGACACCGGTTTTTTGGGTTTTTTTTTTAATGGAGAAAAACTGGTCCGTGCTTAGAGCAGGCCATGGCATTTTTGACCTAAGGAACCTGGAGTTCCTCCAGGCAAATGCCGGGAAAGGAGACGAGTTATTTTTAGCTTCAATTCTATCGTAAAAAACATCTCTTTTAAGAAGCCCAGCCGCCCATTAAGTATGTCACAGAATAGGCTCTAAGCTTTCCTATACTTCATCGTGTTTATCTGGGCGAGTTTGGCATGCAGGGCACTTCCGTAGGTATGGTAAAAGTTTAGTCTATTACATTATTACATAACTACCTATAAAAGCGTAGATGAGGACGGGGCCGTTGCACAGGTGAATGGAGTATGGTCCTTTGGGGAGACGGAGATGAAGTCCCTTATGACAATACTCTTCTATCGTGGCGTCGTTATTGGATATAGTTGAGTGCAAGGTTCTGCAGCACCCTTCCCAACATAGATAACCGTTAGTGTCTTCTATAACCGCGGGTCCGCGTGGGAAGCCACCTACCTTAGTCAAGCTGAATTCCAAGTGACTTATGTTATTTTCCTTCTAGAATTGTGTTCCTTTAGATAATGGTTAGTTACAGTCAAGTTGTAATCGTTGAATAGGAGCTAGAAGAGAGGAAGTGGAATGCTTGTCACAATGGTCTGGCATGCCAGCTGGCGCCCCGGATGGGAGAGGATAGGGGTGGAAAGGGGGGTTAGATGGGAGAACGACGAGAAAGAAGATGAGGCTGCCTCCAACGTAGCCGGCCGAGACCCTCGATAGCTAGGGCACCGATGCGGACGCCGTGGACGAAGGCGCCAATCTGTGGTTTAGACCCCGTGCCAAGGTCGCCTTGCTACCATTAACAACTTCTAAAGTGACAGAGTATACATCACCTAGCTACCCTTGAATACCTTGTTGCCGCGTTGTACTGTGCTGGCAGGCACTCGAGCTCAAGGCATACGCCTCAAAGTCACAGAATGGAGAAATTGCAAGCGGGCAAAATGAAAAGGGAGAGGGTTTGACAGCTGGTTGCGCCATTGTATCAGAGTTTATATTTCCCCTGTTTATAGTCCGCTGGAACAACAAAAGGACGAAGAGATACTATATAAACAGAGAAAGTGAAGTCAGAAAGCTTCGTTCCATGCACTCGGGTTTGCTCCAAGAGCTTGTCGAGCAGTGGATTGGATGCTACAAGATCCTCGTGCTTTGTGGTGGTGCTGTGGTTCCCACTCGCT